GCAGAGATGCGGGATGGAGGATTAAACAGCTCACCTGGTAGAGCATGGCGTAGTTCAAGCTGGCGGTTCCTCATCGCTATTTCTAGGACAACAATAGTAAAACCTCCTTCCCTGGTGTAATTACGATGCTCTGGCTGTAGGTCGGAGGGATCAGCGAGATTAGCGAGATCAACATCAAGCTGCAGGGCAATTGCAAGGAAATCTGATGGTGTATACAACGGCCGATTGAGAACGTGAAGGCAGCTATTAGTTGCAGTCAGACCACAGAGATTGACGAGGATCTCAGGCTGGTTTTGTTGGTCAATCATTTGTAGATCACCCGTGGGGTCTGCGTAGGGTGGTGCACAAGTATGCGGTTCATCCATATGATCCTGGTCAGCCATTTGCAAATCCCTCGTGGGGTCTACGCCATGCGGGATTAAATGCAGTCCAAGCAGATCATGTTCCAGTCCCTCAGCATTCGGGGCCACACAGGGAGGGGCACAAGTACGCGGTTCATCCATATGATCCTGGTCAGCCATTCATCGTGAGTAGGGACTGTCGTTGGGAGTGTACTCTGGGCAGGGACCATATCCTGTTGCACAGCTGGGGGACAAACGAACATGGAAGGGCATAAGACATGGTGCTGTGGCTGTGTGCAAGCAGCTGGACTATCTGCAGGAGGCGTAGGAGCGGATGTATCCGTTTGGGACAACGGAGCTGCAACAACTCGTGGAGGAGGCACAGAGAGAATTGGGGTAGACAAAGAAGCAGGCCGCTGATCCTTGGCCAAGTGGCGATGTTGTGCATGTCGTCGACGATGATACACAATAAGAGGAGTGGCGATGTTTCTAACAGAAGATGTCACTGGCAATGAAGGCGGAACAATGGGAAGAATAGAAATCGGAGAATCGGTTCTCAAACGAGACCGTGGAGGAGATGGCAGTGGCGAGGAGGAACGCAGCCGCTTGCGGCCAAGCACAGAAAGGGATGAAAGGGGGGTGGATTCGGCARGATGTCGGAACATAGGACGCGAGTGTCGGGCTGGGGTAGAGGAAGCTATACCAGTAAAAACTATAGCATGAGAAATTCGAGGTACAGAAGCAGAGGAAGTGTTAAAAAGTGGAACCACAGCAGAGACAACTGTTGTGGTAGGAACCGCAGCAGAGGCAACTTCCGTAGCAGGGACCGCAACGGAGGCAACTTCCGTAGCAGAAACTGTTGGAGTGAAACCCGGAGTTGAAACAGCAGCAGTAGAAACTGCAGCAGTGGAGACCACAGCGGCAGCAGCAGTAGAAACTGCAGCAGTGGAGTCCACAGCGGTGGAAGCGGCAGCGGTGGAAGCGGCGGCGGTGGGAACCGCAACAGTGGGAACTGCATTAGCAGCAGATGAACAATCAGTGTCAGGACGAGCAGCGGAGGCAACTTCCGTAGCAGAAACTGCTGGAGTGAAACCCGGAGTTGAAACAGCAG